AACTACCTTATCATTGTTTCTAAAATATTAAGCTACAAAAACTTACCTTTAGTCTCCAATTAGTGTTTGCCAATGCAATGTGGACAAATGACTATATATCACATTTATTTCATATAACATTTTCTACATAAAACTTGGAGCTAGTATGTATTCATTGAGTCACTTATGGTCTGAAACTGGAAGCAAAGTGGGGAAAATTCAATTGTTTTCATAGTTCCACTGTGGTTCCTAATATAGCAATAGCAATAGCAAGTACATTTCTATGCTGCTTATCAGTGCACTTAAGCATTCTCTAAGCAGTTTACAAATGTGTAAGCTAATTGTCCCCAACAAGCTGGGTACTCATTTTAGCAACCTTGGAAGGATGCAAGCCTCAGTCAAGCCTGAGCCCTTGTCTGGTATTGAACTTGCAATCTTATGGTTTGCAAGTGAGTTGCTGCAGTACAGGCATTTAACCATTGTGCCACCTCATCTGCTTCATACTTATCACTTTGAAGTCATTTTCAGTTTAGTCTTAAAACACTGGCCTAGACTTTCATCTGGCCAAATGGCTGCCACCATTTTTTTTAAAAGTAATTCCATGGCAAATGTTAGAACACATTAATATTTTGCAGCTGGAGTTGGCCTCATAAAAGGTACTAGCTCCAAGTATTACGTAGAAGATGTTATATGAAATAAATGTGATATATAGTCATTTGTCCACATTGCATTGGCAAACACTAATTGGAGACTAAAATATTCATAGAACTGTCCACATGGCTGCCTCTAGATAATTTAAATATCTGTTAATTATGAAGCTGAGAGTTTGTGTATTTATCTGAGAAGGAATCACAGTAAGAAACAGAGTGTGCACTTTTGTACATTACAGTTAAACCTACTCCAGAAACCCCACATATAATGCACTTTACTGCTGTGGAGATATCTGCATAATTTACCCTGTTTGCTAAGAGGTTGCATCAATGTTTCCTCATTATGTTGTGCAACTCCACAATAACAGTAATGGCTTGACACCTCAATATCTCCAGCCTATTTTGTTCCAAACCTGAATTATTTTTTGCAAGCCTAAGTTCCTCATTACTTGGAAATGGGTATCTAGTATCAATTCAATTCAATTCAATTTATTCGGTCCTTGACCAGTATACAAAT